GAATTTTTATTCGGGTCAACGGGAAAGTTAAGATTAATTTTGAACACCGCATACACCGAATATTAAATAACGAATTGAACAAACTTTGAGACATATAGAATTGATACATTTAACGGGGCAACGAAGTGCACGGGATCAGCTAATATATACAGAATGAGGACGTCTTTCAAAGTGACATTTAAAAGATAAATATCTCAAAAAATTATTTTGTATACTAGATAGACTCTGGTTTTGACAAATGCTATCAGAGTGCTAAATTAAAGAGGCATAGTCAATATGGGAGCGTACTAAGGAATAATATAATATTTTTAAAACTGAACTATCATTGAAATCACTACACATACGTTTTAATAATCCAAACTTCATATATGATTTATTTCGAATAGAGTCAACATGATTGCTAAAAGATAATTTTGTGTCAAATGAAACTCCTAGGTCTTTAATAATATATTTATGTGTTAGATTTGTATTATGTAAAACATAATTATAAAGTATAGTATTTTTTTTTAAAGAGTACGAAATAACGGAGCATTTATCAATATTTAAGGACATTCCATTATAGATACACCATTAATAAATATTATCTAAGTCGGCTTGAAGTTCCAATGAATCATCAATACACTTAATTTTTTTTAAATATTTTAGTGTCATCAGCAAATAAGTACAAATAAGTACGATGTTCTTAAAAAGATGAGATAATCTGCAGATAAGTACGACATTAGTTATCTTAGAATTTGTATCATAGTGTTATTAAATTTGGCAACATTGCACAATCGTGTAATCGTATTTACATAAATATATTATTAAAGACCTAGGAGTTTCATTTGACACAAAATTATCTTTTAGCAATCATGTTGACTCTATTCGAAATAAATCATATATGAAGTTTGGATTATTAAAACGTATGTGTAGTGATTTCAATGATAGTTCAGTTTTAAAAATATTATATTATTCCTTAGTACGCTCCCATATTGACTATGCCTCTTTAATTTAGCACTCTGATAGCATTTGTCAAAACCAGAGTCTATCTAGTATACAAAATAATTTTTTGAGATATTTATCTTTTAAATGTCACTTTGAAAGACGTCCTCATTCTGTATATATTAGCTGATCCCGTGCACTTCGTTGCCCCGTTAAATGTATCAATTCTATATGTCTCAAAGTTTGTTCAATTCGTTATTTAATATTCGGTGTATGCGGTGTTCAAAATTAATCTTAACTTTCCCGTTGACCCGAATAAAAATTCTGATTCGCAGCAGTAATCTACCTGCGATAGATCGCGTACCCTGTGCTGTTTGTACGTAAGTGTATGATTTAACTCTAAAGTATTAAAGTTATACCAAGTTTATCGTTTTTACTTCATTTCGCCTAAGGTGGATTATTATAATCATTTTATACAAAATCCTATCCTAACCTAACCGTACTAAAACCCGATGAAAAAAAAACAAATTTAACCCTTAGTAAATTAACCTATCTTCTTCCCAGACGTCTAATCTATCCACAAACATTAATTTATATATATATATAACTATATAAATACACGGACTATAACTATACAGACTCTGGAACTACTTATTGGATCTTTTTGTATTTATTATATATATATGATATATGTATACCTATTGACAAAAAATAATGATACAAATCAAAAACATGCCCGATTAACCAATAGCAACCGATATAATATAATACACTGGTGGATTTTCCTAACATTTTTTTTTTCATATAAACCTTATCCATGAAATACTCTTTCATTTAAAAAAAAATAAATAAGATCTGATAAGAAGCTATAGTATATAAAAAAATATAGTAGGCACAGTTGGCACCTACATAGTTCTGTATAATGTAAATAATTGTATGCAAATTTTTATTTAGAATCTGGATTTAAATAATCCTTAGTATTATCTTTTATATAACACGCATTCTAATTGTGAACAGCAGTTTTATAATTTATTATCACCATTAAAATTATTGTTTTGAATGTCCAATTGTAATATTTTATTGAACCGATCAAATGTGTTTTCAATTATCTTTTTATCTTCTTCATTAAACTTATTATTCTTAATTAATTCTTTTACATTTGCAGATAAATTATTCAGAAAATCATTTGGTTTTAAAAATCTGCCTATATTAAACAATGAACTAACAAACTGAAATCAGAAATAACAATTATTTCACTACAAAACATAATAATAATAGCATAAACTGTTATTAACACACATTAGTTTCAAAAATCAATAAATTCTACTCATAAATAATAAATTAAAAAAATAATAGATTTTACTTTAACCTAATTCTCAAAATTTATAATTATGTAATATCTTTTTTTTAATATATTTCTTAAAATAAATGTTTTATTTAAACAATTTACTAACAACTAATTCTAATAACTTGAAATATCAATACACTAAAAGATTTATACAATGCTGGGCAAGTTAATGATTTTTTTTTAAACTCAATTAAGTTAAGTTAATATGCACCAATAACATTAAGTTAAAAGTTAAAAGTTTATTTAACTATAGGTTAACTCAATTAAGTTAAAAGTTAATACCCACTATTTGTTAACTTTTTATTTAGTTAAAAAAGAAGTTAATTTCTTTATCCAATGCTAGCGTAATTTATTTTTTTCTAAAAATTAATTATAGACTATAGGTGTTTATACTTTATACAATATTTCCATATAAGTTAGATTTGAATGATATATATTTTTAACTTTAAATAATTTACGGTAAATATTTTTTGACATGAAAATGAAACAGACTGAAATAGTGCAATATAATTAAATTAAAAGCAAAATAAATTAACTTAACTTACTTCTTAAAATGAAAAATTAATTCATTGATCTCACGTGAATTAAAAGAGAAATTTAGTAAGCTAAGAGTTAAGTTAATAAAAACCGACTCGCGCACGATTGGTCCACCGTACATCTATAGTAATGTTGGCACACTTATATTAAATATATTAGGATTTTTAGTATTTGTTGTTATAGCGGTCATAGAAATACATAATCTGTGAAAATTTAAACTTTCTAACTTTCAGGGTTCATGAGATACAGCCTGGTGATAGACAGACGGACGAACAGCGGGGCCTTAGTAATAGAACCGTACAGAACCCTAAAAAGCCAAAAGTAACTAGTTAAGTAAAAAAGTTAAAATAAAATTAACTTGAAAAATTAAAATTAAATTAAATTGATATAGGTACTTAACAATGAACTTGGAAAACATGGAGGTGAGTAACTCTCTTAATATGTAAGAATTTCTCTGTTTGATGGGTACAAAGTATTTTTTATATTTACTTACCATTAGCTTACGTTTTTTACTAATATCTGCAATGTCTTGATCAATATATAATTTTAAGTAGTGCATAATTTCTTTTGGATTATTCTCACAGTAATTGTAATATATCAATATGTGTATTAAAATAATAACCCTTGAATATGGATTTTGATAAATATCATACAAGTAATTTAATGTCTGAACATAAGGAAATGTATGGACAGATTGTAGGCATTCTATTTTTATTAACTCCAATGAACTGTAGAAATCACCATAAGCGTATGCACGAGATAAATGCATTTAAGCTTTTACGTAATCCTGAACAAAAAAATGAATAAATTTTTTCTCCCAATAATACATTTTTGAATATCATACCTTTTCACGGTCTAGATAATATCTGCCTATACTTAGATGCACATAACCATTTTTAACATTTGTCAGTTTTGTAATTATATTGTCTATAAATTCGGGCGTCGCCCGAGTGCGTCCCGAAATGACCCTTTTTTAATGTTCCTAGTGCGTCCAGAATAAGGTATCATCCGAGTGCGTCCCAAGAAAAAAGGTAATATTTTTCACATAGCCTGAATGCTTCCCAGTTCATTTAGAGTTACCCAGGGTGCACCACGAGGAGTTGAACTGGCTTACACCCCAAAAATATTTGGTTATTTGGTTATTTAATTATTATATTATATTATTATTATAAAATCAAAAGTTTATTATTATATAAATGTATTAAATTATTTAGGCTTACATACAATTATAAAATGCTGGGTTAATATTTAAACTATTTTTTTGGTTGACTTTTTAATGCCATGATTTTCACATAATCATATCTAGAGATTTTAGAAGTTTTGTATTTTTGTATAATTTCTTCAATGAATTTAATATTTTTTTTGTTGACTGATCTATTTTTTTTAGGTATTTGATTAAAAGTTTGTATTAAAATTTTTGTGTCTATTTGAATTTTTTTTAATATTTCTAAGAAGGAATATATGTCCGGATGTGGGGTGTAAAAGCATAAATTAAATTTAGAATGAAAGCTTTCACACGCATTTGTTGTTCGTTCACTGCTACTGCTCATTTCTGCCCATGTGTGAGGAGGGAAATCTGACTGTGGATCAATATAGTTTTCTACGAGATAATCCATAAACTGATTTAGTTTTTCATCATCAGGCTTGATAGACATAAAATCTTCAGTAAAACTTATTTCTATATCGTGTTCATTCAGCATGGGTAATCCAAATATATTCCTTAAAAACTGTCCTATTTCTGATACATCATTACAATAATGAATACTTAAACCAAGATTCTGTACTTTTCGCCACTATGCCTGTCCCAGATGAAACCGACAACCTTTTGTAATAATATCTGGCCAAACATTTCTTGTACCCATATGTATAGATTTTTCAAAATCTGCGTACATAATTTCGGGGTTAAAACATAAATTAAATTTTGTACATTCATTTTTTAATGCCAAAAAACACGAAGAATACGATTCTGTTTGTTTATTATTCAATAAAAAAAAATACTAATGATATGTAATAACCATTATTTAAACCATGAATGGTAAAAAGTTGTAAAAAAAATTTTGGACAGTACTTAAATGTACCATCTACATAAATTGTTTTTACGGCACATAAAGTAGCTAAATTTTTTTTACATGAAAACATAACCAAGTTTTTATTACTGTCATTCACTAAAAGAAATGTTTCATTATCAAATGTTTTAATTTCTAATGAAGTTAATGAACTCTTGAATATTAGTTGGGTTTTTGGGTAGTATTGAACGGCGAGCAGCATAAATCCCTTTTCGAATACAAGATATGACAGTCGTCGTTAAAAAGTCCGTGTTTTCATTTTTTAGTTCCAAATGAATTAATTTCATTGGACGTTCACAAAGATCTACTTGAGCTTTTCGTTTTACAGAGTTCCTTATTACTTGTCTCATCGTTTTTCCTTCAGATTCTAAATTATGATTATGATTTAAATTACTATCAATAATTGTCTTCTCACTCATATCTGTTTTCATGTAAGCCGTACAAGTTTTGTTTACACAGCACCATCGTTTTACATCGCCATTCAACATTTTATGAAATCTCATTTTATATCCATCAATAATTTTAAGTTCCTTACCGTGTTGGCTGATCATACTCGACGGCAACGACATCGACATCTTTCAAGTATATTATAGTATGTAATATTATGTAATAAAATGAATTAATGTAAAATGTTAATTAAATATATTTAAATAAAACGGTTAGCTGCATACACATAACTACACATCACTAAACATACTGCACGTGGTTGTCAAAGACTTGTTACGAATAGTAGGCTATCTTATCCATAAACTACATAAAGATAAATAATGTTAGCAATAATATCGCGGACCGTAATGAACCGAGTATAAATAAGAATTTGTAATTTTGTTTACTTTTGCAAAAATATAGCTCTTCATTTTTAAAATTTTACCCTTGAGCAGTTTAAATGTCCCCTTTTTACATTTGATAAAAACTCGGACGCAGTTTACATGTGTGATTTTGTGTTAACCTGTACCTTGGGCGCAGTTTACAATCGCGGTGTTTGACAAAAAAATTGTTACCGTCGTTATTATTGCTGAAATCTGTGGGATTTGGGGAATTAAAAGTATCACGCAATATTGTCATCAAAATAATATGTATTCCAAACATTTATTCATCAATTTAATTCAACTCCAATAGTCTCTTATACGGCGTCTTAGATATGCAATTTCACTACATCACTGTCGATAAGCATTATTATTAATTATTATGCATTTAATAGGTATTATAATAATATAATAGTTATACAATATTATTATTTATAGTTATACAAGCAATATGTTATCATACTTCATTTTTTATGTTTGGTTTAAAAACAAATAGTTCATCCAACTACATTTTTAAACACAATTTGTAAAAAAAATCCCGCAAAACAACCTATAAAAACACAATATTATAATATTTTAAAACTTTTAAATTTATTTATAACAAGTGATGTTAAGTGCACCATAATCAACAACAAACTTTAAATTTCCATATTAATATTTTTTTACACACACGTCACTGTAAAACCAAACGTATTGTTTATATTTGTACACAAATGTGTTTTATTTTAGGTAAATGTATCCAAAAGTCCACCGCCCACAATAAGTCTGTTATAATGATTGGCAAATGATCGTTACATTTTGATTGAAACAATTGACCGTTTGCAAAACCATACACTTATTTGCGTTGAAAATCCCAGAAATAGAGATGGTCCAACTTCGGCCTCCCTGATTGTTGTTAACAACTTATGTTAATTTATTGCCAGCAACCAGTCGATGTCATTATCCACCGAATGATGATTATAATATTATATATGTACAACGAAGATTTCAGGATAGCCAACCAGATTTGCAACTCCCATTCAACCAACAAATCGTATCAAAACTTTCATCTCTTTCATAGTATTACGTAGGTACTAACAAGCCGAATTCCATAAAATTCGGTCTTTAAATGCTAATAAAAAAAAATTGTGCATATGTATTTTTAATATTTTTCAACTGATATTGTAACAATATATCAGGAGCCTTGTATTAAGTACACTATATATGTACCCTTTTTGGCCCAACAGATAAAACTTAATTGATATTTATAGAAAAAAAAAATTAAAAAAATTGAAAAATGTAACTGTCCATAAAAATGTCAAAAAGAATCAAAATATTTAAAAAAATGTATGGTGTATAGGAAGTGCTAATATGAATATTCAGTGAAATTTTTATGTATCTTCAGTTATTCGTTTTTTAATTACAACAAAATAAAGAAATCACTACATGAGAAATCGAGTAAATATCCTATGTTGTAAAAATTTGAATTTGCATCGCTCATAAAAATTTAATTTGACTTTCTTAATGACATTTTTTTTTTTTGATAAAGGTAGACAAACTTATGATTAACCTTGTATTACATTTTAAAATCTTAGAAAAAGACACAAAGATACTTTAACAGCCTTATCAATTATGAGAGATGATTTTAAGAATGTCATTCGTAATATTAGCGTATATCCATTTTTTTTAAAATTATCATTGTGGTGAACAAATTCATGTTTATCGAAATTACTGTAGTAATATCACTCACCCACGACTGATAATAGATGCTACAGGCTCTGTAGTTAAAAACTTTTACAAGTTTGGAGTGGAAAAAACTAAACATATTTTTTTATATGAAGCTCTTGCTTATGACGTGGGTTTACTGTAACTAATATGTTAAGTGAAAAACATAATAATTCGACCATTTTTATATGGTTGTCTGAATGGTTAAACTGTAATGTTCAACCCCCTAAAGAAACAGTGTGTGATATGTCATTAGCGCTACTGTCAGCCATAAGTCATTGTTTCACTCAGTACTCATCATTGAATGATTATATTAACACTTGTGCTGATTTGCTTTTAAATGAACTACCACTCCGAGAATCTCATTGGCTACCAAGGTATGTATAACATAAATCAATTAAAAATTAAAATGCTTGAGCATCTATATTTTTATTAACTATTCTATACGAGTACCAATATACTAGGTATAACGAAATATTATCATCTGAGTAAAGGAGATAGTGGTTACTGTTTATTTTACAATTATGTCAATTTGCTTTTGTGTACAACTTTCTGCCCAAAAATGTTTATACTATACATAAAGATAAACTCACTAAATTTTCTGAGTTCAAATTTTACATCTTAACCAATAAATTACTTTAGTTGTGTATATCACATTGTTATAAATTGTGTTTGGCATAAGGTTTATTAAATCTCATTTGAATAATTTTTTAATAATCGTCTTATCTAGATAAATTGTTTTTTTCAAATTTTAACTAGATCATTTTTTCCTAAAATTATATTATGGTTAAATGTCAAAATATTTCGGATATAAAAAAAAATTTTGATTTCTCTATTTGTTGTAATTACAAATGAAACTGATGGTTCTGACATAAACACTGGATTAGCTACACCGTTTGAATCACATAAAAAAGAATTGATCAACTTCACATCGACAGTTTGTTTAAATATATATTTTACACAAAAAAAAAATTGTAATATTAAATATTAAATTATGACTATGAATTGGTATGTTTTAAGGTACTATAAATGAAGACGAAGAAAGGATGTTCAATGATGCACAGGAATTCATATTGGAAGAAGATGACAATTTGGAGGAGGGTCTACTAGGATACAACCCATTCCAAACCTGGGCTGAGAACATTTATGAAAACAGCACGCAAATAATTTAACGAATATAAAAAAGAGGGAACATTGATTAATGCCATGTATTTACCGACATTGGTTCCATATGTTATAAAATGCATGAAACTTTTACCTCTATGGTCAGGTATCATGGTTCCAATATATGGATATGGTGATGAAACTGCAAGTTCTGCCGCAGTCGAGTTGAGTTTCTAAAACTTAAAACTGTGACATTCAAACAAGACAATTTACCGATTACAATTGAAGACTTTTTACCACGTCATATTTATTCACTACGAGGAGCATCCCTAATTCACTCAACAAAAACTTCAATACCACCAAACAACAATGATGAAATTAATAGATAATCAAAAATAACTTCCTAATCAGACAACAAAAGACTTATTGAAACTCATCAAAATGTTGAAGAAATTGAAGAAGTTGAACACACCAACATGGTTTCTGAACAGGAAAATGATTTTTTGATCATTCCTGAACAATAAAATTGTCCGCTTTGCTCTGAAGGTATGGATACAGGAGCACATAAATGTTTTTACTGTGGAATACCAGTTCATCCAATTTCCGCATGCTCAACTTATGTACCTGGTAATGATGACATGCGAGTTTGCATTATTTGTTCATTTGTAGAAACTAATGTAAATGAGGAGAATAATGCACGTGAATCTTGGTGTATGATGAATAAGAAACAGCGTAAAACTAATTCATACCTCCAACCTAATCCACATTTAAAACATTTGAACTTAAATAATTCTAAACACACCAAATCGCTACCAATTCTAAAAAATGGTTAACGTTCAGAGGAACTTAAAAGCTGTAAATCAAAAGTAACAAAAGGAAAAATCGTACTGACGAACACGTGTGCATTTGATTCATTGGCTTCACTAGTTATGGTACCTATATGTTATATTATATATTTAGTATTGAATCTTTGTAAAATTGTATATATTATATTTTACAGGTATCGTATTGTGATAGCAAACCATATGCCGAAAAAATTGATTCTGTTGAAAAAGTCAATATCAAAATTTTATTTCAAAAATCATAAAAAATGGTATTACATCTTCAACATATACAGAACGAGCTGATATTATAATAACTAAGTTGAATCCAGAATTAAAATTGATGGATTATAACACTACGTTGGCTATTTGTGACTCTACTATGGGTAAAGTTATACATTCTATGTTGACAGAATTTCCAACAATAAAAGAGGCTATACGATGTACATCAAACTGCCAAACAAAATTTAATTCACTAGTGTATTTAACATATCAAACAGAAATGGTCGTATACATGATTTGCAACAATTTATTGATAATCGCCAACACATCGAAAAATCAAAATGTACACAAGAGGTGTCTGGAAACTATTGTGATGGGGTGAAAGAAATAATATCTGAATTCTCAGATATGCATTTGTTTATTGATGTTATTCATTGGGAAGGTAATCTTTTTTAGTTTTTTTATATATTAAAGTAGATAAAAACATTTAAGTTGCTTCAAGTCTGATGATGAAGTTGAGAATAAACGGTATAAACAAAAATCATAACGATTTGCACGTAGTTTCCAGATAATGATTGTATCATAGTGAAACGAAATCAATTTTGAATACTAATTAGATACCTTATACTAACACTCAATATTCTTTTATTGTCTCTAAATACATTGTAATGTAATTATATTTTGTCTAGATAAACTGTTTATTATTTTAACTCAACAACGTTATTTATAAACATACCTATAGTAATAATATTGTAATACTTAATACAAAAAAAAAACATCATTCGATGAAAACCAAAAAAGTACACAATGCTATGTTATGTGTATAGATAAATAATATTAGTAACTAAAAATACAAAGAGAAAAAATACTGTAAAATAAAACAAGTTGATTGCATTTATACCAACGTCAAAACTGAAT